TTCAATTTGATATATAGCCCAACGTTCAGTGTTGAGTATTTCTGCTCATAACTCAGAAAAACTAAAATGCACTGGCTTCAATTTCCCCCCCTGAGTTAGCCTTCCAGTTTATTTATAGTTCAATGCGTAAACCTGACGTTTGAGGGACTGAGACTGACGTCCAATCCGCGTGAAAGACTGGTATCGAGGCTTCATTGTTTTCACAATCAAATGACTGAATGTTATCATTCCAGATATATATATATAGAGAGTTCACTGATCTGAAATAGCCTTCACCTCAGCAGACGTGAAAATCCGCCATGTTTTTGGCTTCACCTTTTGATGCCGAGCACTTCCTCCAGTTATATTATAGCTCAGTGGGTTGCCCCCTTCATAATATGTTTCTATGGTTTACAATGGCCAAAACCGCAGCGCATTGTGGTATACTGACGTGCCTCCTCTGCTCGAAGGGATCGAATGATTATTAATATAAACGAAGGAAACCGCCTGAATTTTCGTTTAAAATGAGTTCATCAAAGCCTAGAAATCGATCACGGTCTCCAGTGAGGAGATCTAATGAACGTTTACATTATTCGGGCTCGATAGATAAAAAGGAGCGGCGAAATAGCAAAGATAAAGGCTCGAAACCACATGACGAAAAGACGCCGAATTCAGACGCCAAACTGAAAGTCCAAGTAAAATCCGAAAAGAATGACAGTCGCAATGAGTCTAATAATAGTTTTGAATCAAAAGAAAATAAATCAAGCAGTAATTCAACTCCAAAACAGTCTTACGTGAGCACTAGTAGTAGGACGTATGTAAATCCTGTGACGGGCAAGACGGAGCGAAAATTTTCCAACAGATGTCGTTTGTTTGTGGGAAATATCACTGATATGAGCGAGGATGAATTCACAAAGCTGTTTGAGAAGTATGGACAATATTCTGAAGCGTATGTGAACAAAGAGAAGGCTTTTGGGTTTATCAAAATGGTAGGTTTTTAACATGTTTTTAATAGGTATATTAACCACAGTGTTGACCAGCCAGTGCGACCACGTGCAGGTGTGCAGCAGTACGTGTAAAATTATGATGTAAATATTTAATATATAAAAAGGTGGCCCAATATAAACGTTTCTGCCAAAACAAACCTTCAATAAACTTGACCATTCCACAACATTCCTGTTGCATATATAAAGCAAACTTTACCAAATCTCCCAGTTCTTTAATAGAGGGCCCCCTATACCTCTTCACAATATGCTTTCACGTAAAAATATTTTGCCTATTCACGAGTCACGGATTAAGAAAATCATCGATCACGTTTCACGGCAAAGTAAAATAAGCGCTTCACGCAAAAAGTATAGGGAGCCTGATCACGTTTCACGGCTAAGTAAAACAAGCCCTTCACGCAAAAAGTATAGGGGGCCCTCTTAATAGGCGTAGCAGGCACTGCTGGAAAAGACAGGCAGTTAAACACAGACACTTGTGGAGAATTTATTTTAGTACATTGAAGCTATGCTTCCAAAAGCTAGAGGTGTTTAAGCGATTAATGCTATGCGTTAGCCTGCAAATCAACCAAGCCCTCGATGTCTTGTATACTCAATACGTTAGTCATTTGAAACCCCCACCTCCGGGACTTCCCTCGGCCTTTTCCCCCCGATAGTCTGTGGGATGAGGGTTGAAAATATACTTGCTTAGAAAACAGATTCCGTAGCACCACTCGTGTAACTACATAATTTCCACATAAATCGACAGATTTGAACTTAGTCATAATCCACTTCCCCCTAGCCTGCATGGCCGGCTCATTGAAGGATAAGCCTGCAAGGACATTGGCACTCAAAATTTTTATTACTTATATCTATTAGGTATACTTGCGGAATATTTAATTTCACATTTTGGCCGGTTTGTCGCGTTTAGTTGTTGAGAAAAAAAAGTTCAACAGCTGTCCGCCATTTTGAAAATAAGCGTGTATGCTAATTTATGCCACAAAATACATTATCTGACGTCATTGGCTGGGTAAACACAATTTCATGACTATACACAATACCGAGTATTGCCACGCATAGTGTATTTTGAGCCGAAACAAAAGGCAGCAAAGTTTTACCAAGTGTGTAACTTATAAAGTTTGTTCGTTCACTGCAACCAGGTATATCAATCATGTTTCGCTCGCTACTCTGGTTTATATAAATGGTTACAAAGCCCAGTCGAATTGTAATCAAGACCCAACGTTTCGATACTCCAGTCTAGTGACTTCATCAGGGGTGATCTAAAACTGCGATCGTGGCTTCTTAAATACCCAAGGGATGACGTCACCTGCCAAGAAGATGCATATATTCTTCTGGCAAATAGGCGCCGTCATCCCTATTCAAAGCATGATGACTTATATTTATA